GAACACGCCTCCCCGGCACAGACCAGAAAAGGGCTGGGAGCGCGGCCGCCGGCACAGGTACCGATGTGGGATCCCTCCCCGCGCCGAGATGCCCAACGCGTCGTCCTCCTGGTCCGGGCTGGCCAACGCGTCTTGCCCGGGCCCCCCGCCAGGCTGCCCCAACGCGTCGAGCCCTCCGCCGCTGACGCCGCCGCTGGCTGTGGCCGTGCCGGTTGTGCACGAGCTGATCTGCGCCGTGGGGCTGGCGGGCAACTCTGCGGTGCTGTTTGTGCTTCTGCGGGCGCCGAGTCGGAGGACCGTCACCAACCTGTTCATCCTCAACCTGGCCATCGCCGACGAGCTCTTCACGCTTGTGCTGCCGGTCAACATCGCTGACTTCCTGTTGCGTCAGTGGTCCTTCGAGCTCATGTGTAAGCTCATCGTGGCCATCGACCAGTACAACGCCTTCTCCAGCCTCTACTTCCTCACCTTCATGAGCGCCGACCGTTACCTCTTGGTGCTGGCCACAGCCGAATCGCGCCGCGTGGCCCGCCGCTCCTACCGCGCCGCGCGCGCGGTGAGCTTGGCGATGTGGGGCCTCGTCACGCTAGTCGTGCTGCCCTTCGCAGTGTTCGCGAGACTCCACGACGAGCAGGGACGACGCCAGTGAGTGCTGGTTTTTCCGCAGCCCGAAGCTTGGTGGTGGCGAGCAAGCCGCCTCTACACTCTGGTGCTGGGCTTCGCCCTCCAGGTGACCGCCATCGGCGCCCTATACACCTCCCTGCTGTGCCGACTGCACCCCTTGCGGCTGGACAGTCACGCCAAGGCCCTGGACCGCGCCAAGAAGCGGGTGACCATGCTGGTGGTGGCCATCCTGGCCGTGTGCCTACTCTGCTGGACGCCCTACCACCTGAGCACCGTGGTGGCGCTCACCACGGACCTCCCGCAGACACCGCTCATCGTTGCTGTGTCCTACCTCATCACCAGCCTGAGCTATGCCAACAGTTGCCTCAACCCTTTCCTCTATGCCTTTTTAGACGATAACTTCCGCAAGAGCCTCAACCAGCTGGGGGCGTGCCGCGCCTCTGCCTGACGCCCCTGCCGGCCTGGTCCCCGCCCTCCGGTCTGGGCCACCAGAGCTCGGTCCCCGGTGGCAGCATCAGCGCCTTCTTAAAAACCTGCTAGAGATGCATGTTCTTGGGCCCCACTCCAGACCTACTGCATCCGAAACTCTGGGACAGGCCCGCCAATTTGAGTTCGCAGAGCCCTGCAATACGCGCTGAAGCTTGAGGACCACAGCGGCTGCCAACACCCGACTGACCGCTTTCTAAAGCCGAAAGGCACCGAGTTGGCTCTGGAGCTCGGCGCTGTGGGGATTAAGGAGATGAAGAGGTTAGCGGTCAGCATTGCTGGGACATCCTTGCCTCTCCCCCACCATTTCCCCCCATCTCCTCCCCCATCTGCCCCCCCCCCCCCGCCCCGCTGTCCTCATTTAGGGCTCTAGAGGGAGCCCTCGGCCGGCTGAGCGCTGTTCAGGCTCCACTGGCCTCTGCGCTTTGCTGCTCCGGTGCCTAGCAGCGATTGCCCTGTGCTTTTGCTCCAACTGGCAGACAGTTCGACCCGGTCCCCTTCCCCTCCGTTGCACGGGTAACTGCTGGAGAAGGGGGTAAAAGGCGGCGTTGGTTTTGCGCCCTCGCCTGGGGTGAACGCGGAACCAGCGAAGGGCGCGTGGAGGATTGCCCACGACGCGGGGGGACAACATAACAACCTGCCGGGACGGACGTGTGCGGTGTATGCGTTTGCAGGGCAGGCGTGGGATGGAGTCCTTTTCTTTTCTTTTTTTTCTACCCCTGCAGTCGCCTGAAAATGTTGCCAGGCTTTAGGAGGTCCAGCTTGTAGGACGCGCACAGATGCGCGGTTCCTGCGCCCCCTGGAGGAGCCAGATTCCCAGCGCTGGGCATCCTAACAAAATCAAGCACTGTTGGCAGCGGAGCGCACCTGCCAACCTGCCATGGACTCCTCTGGGTTACAGTTATCGCTCCTTTCTTTGTGCCAATCGACCTCTCATACGACTCATACCAGCTAGTTGTAAGCCTTTGTGTGAGTATTGTTTTTCTTGACTGTAAACTTTATAAATAATATACGTATATGTCCTACCCTCACAGTTCTGAAAGGAATGGATGACAATCAATTTGCTCTGTCATTTCCTTTCTCCTATATTCTGTCCCCTTCCCCTCATAGTCCTCTGATGCTCTCATATTCCTTCTGATGAAGTCCTTTCCACATACCTTAGTCTCAAAAGATACCTGGTAGTCTGGGTAAACCTGGTAAATGTTTGGCTCTGGTCTCTACCTTTATTTTACCTCTACTTATGGAAGACCCGAGGATTAAGAGAAAGGGCTGACCCTTGGGCCTATCCAACCATTTGCCATGGGTTACACCTCAGTCATAAGGGCAGAGCTTCACAAGACTCCTATCAGTGACCATCATGGTGTTTTAAATGGTGTTTTTCTTTGGGATGAATTCCAAGCAGGAGTGAAAATTTCGGAAAGTCCTTATATCCTCTGCAAGCTTCAGTGCTGTGTGTAAGAAACAGTGTGTTTGTTAACTTTGTTGGATTAGAGTTATCAACCAACTTGGGAGTTATTTAGGTTCAAAATACCTTTTTAAAAATATGTGGGAGGGGAAAACTCTCCCTTTGGTGAGGGAAAGGATACCCTCTCTCTGATTTAGTTGAATGAGAGTTGCTTCCTTAGCCTTTAAAATAATTAAGAGTATTAAGATAATCCATAGCTATCCTTCAGAAAATATAAATTTAAAGACCTTCTCTGGGTGATAAATAATAGTAATTGGTCAAAATAAAGCTTTGCATCTTCAGTGCATTTTGAATAGTGGGCATCATTGTATTTGAACAGTCATCTGCTATGGAGCTTCAGAGGTAGCTTGGAATTCATTTTAGAGTCAAATTTCTAGGAAACATTTCACTGATTTTCTCTATGTCTCACAAAATTATTTTACGTAATTTTTGAAAACAAAAGTGTTAAGTTTAGAGTAATTGCCAGATCATACAAGGTGATAGCACAGTGCACATTTGGCCACACACATAACCAGGTGTGATCATCTGAAGTCCAACCTCATCTGTCTTCATGAACTCAGTAACTGGGCATGGATAACTCTGGACGCTGGAGGAGAGCCAAGTGATCCATCTGTTCACTGCACCGTCCACTCCCACAGATCAAATCTGGAGCTGTCTCAGCATCCACTGAGATGACTGCTGGGAACACATCAGCCTGGCACTGCTGTGCTGCCCACAACAAGGCAGGGACTGGCATCCTAGTGCATGTGTGTGATTACGTAAAACTCAGTGGCTCAGTTTCACCCTGGCTTTCAAAATCACTTGATAAACTCTTGTATCATTTCCAGGTTGTTGCCCTTTGTATTAGCATGTAGAAGCCCAGATTATATGTCTCTGACTTCCTTTTTATGCTTTAGGTAATAGGTTGAATAAACATGTAAATAGCTTTGAAGAAAGTACAATTGATTTAGATCATTGTATTGCAAAGGTTGTAACTTTGTGTTGAATTCTTGTAGTCTTCATGTAGATTATATAGCTTGATTTTACCATTTCTCATATTTAAAAATGTCTGTTTGGTTTCACTTAGTACAGTTATGTAATCTATTTGCTTATGCTTTCTCTTCAGAAATGCAGAAACATTGCTATTCCACTGCAGAGAAGCTCAGTCTAAAATAAAAGCTGAAACATTCTGTCTGATCAGTGAATATTCTATTTCCTGAGACCATGGGGTCCATAATTCAGGCACCTTAGTATTTATGCATTATTAATTTCTTAATGCTGCCTTCATCAAAAACTTATCTAATGGATAAGCAATGAATAAAGAGAAATATTTGACAGAACAGGATTGAGAATAAGATTCCCTCCCCCCTTATTTTGGTTGATTGTGAAAACAATGCAAAGCTGCTGGTTCACACAGACTCTAGAACATATGCTGGGAAGAGACTGGTAAGCTTTTATCATACAATCACAAACATGTTTCTTGAATATTTGGGCAGCTTGTGTGGAAGGTGAGAAGGGAAGAGAAATTGCTGGAATTACTAGCATCCATGTTGCTATTTCAGTTAGCACTATGCACAGACATGGCAGAAACATGCAAGATAGGGGATTCACTTGGAAAAGCCCTCCTCTCCTCAGCAACATGCTGGGGAAAACAACAACAAATAATATTCTGCTGTGGACGGTAGTTACTCTGCTCTCTTATACTAAGGCAAAGATCATGGAGTACTTCGTGTGATGCTCCTTTAATAGGACAGGTATGAGTCTGGCACTTTGGTTCTCATTTTACATACAAAGAAACTGAGATACAAGGAAGTGGATCAATTTAGTCAATGCCCACTAAGACCAATCACGATTAACAAAAGCCATCATTAATAATAAAAATTCATTCCTTACTCAGAGTCTTGGAAAATATGCAGGGTTGTTACAGATTATACAAAGAGGTGTTGGTGGTTCAGTGGTAGATTTCTCACCATCCATGCAGGAGACCTAAGTTCGATTCCCAGCTAATGCACCTCAAGCATAGCCACCACCTGTCTATCAGTGGAGACTTGCATGTTTCTATGATGCTGAACAGGTTTCAGCAGAGCTTCCAGATGGAGACTGGGCATTTTGTTCCATTGTGTGTGGGGTCACTATGAGTCGGGGTGACTCAATAACAGCTAACAACAACAAGAGATTGTATAAGAATAAAAGTTCCTTCAACAGAGCTGTTCAAGTGCCCAGGTACCATGAGCCTTGTAATCTCCATGCTGTGCCCGTGGAGATCACAGTTGCACCATTTAGACAGAGTAGAACGTCAGTGTCTCCTCAGTTGATATAGAATACAGTTTTGCAATGGATGACACTGTCCTTGAATGTAGGGCGAGATTCATTTATTTATTTATATCATATCTCTTAAGGTAACATACAGACATCAGATTACATCAATTAAAAGAAGAAAAGATCGGGAAAGGGAAGAAAAGTGAAAATGACATTGTATCAGGCAGGGTTCTACCAGAGAAACAGAATCAGTAGGATATGTATATATTAAGAAATTTGTTTTAAGGAATTGGTTTATGAGATTACGGAAGCTGGCAAAGCCGACCAGAAGGCTGGACGTTCTTCAGCATGAGCTGTTGTTGCAGTCCACAGGTGGAATTTCTTCTTCCTCAGAGGAATCCTCCTTTGGCTCTTTAAGGCCTTTATTGAGGCCCACCCAGATGATCAAGAGTAACTTCTTTACTGAAAAGTCAACTGTGTAGATATTAACCACAGCTACAGCATACCCTCACAGAAACATCGAGATTAGTGTATTGGTTGAATAACTGGGTACTCTGGTTCCGCCAATTTGACACATAAAACTAACGATCACAGATATCTTTTAGAAACTCTGTAAGAATGGATGAATCTATGCTTCCAATGGTCCCCCCAGAGCAAAACTTCTCTTTTGATGAATACCAAAGGAAGAGGAGCTGGGGGGGGAAGTGGGGATAGGGAGTGGGAAAGTGGGGAGGGCGTGGGAGTGGGGAATGGGAAGGTAGCCTCCATTCCCCTCAAACACCCAAGGGTACTGATGCTCACAGAACAGATGCCTTAAGGGACAACAAGTGGGGAGGGAGTGACAGCTTTCTGTGAAATCTGGATCCTTTAAAGACTGTGAATGAAAAGTCATCTCACTCAATTCTGATGTGTCCCAAGGAGCACTCCCACGTTCCAGGAACTCTGGGCTCTGGCAGACATGGAGACAATGACCACATTAACCAGCACCGCCCCTCCCACCCCCACACATACACTGAGGAGAGTGAGTGGAACTTCGCTATTCTGTTATGGGTCCTCCAGAAGGTAGGTGAGATTGCCAGTGTCCTCCAGGGCAAGGGGCTTAACACTTATGAATGTTAAACAGTAACCACAAATGGACAAGCCAGCTTACTTTAGACAGCAAAGAATTATCTGGTAGATGAGAAAATGGCTATTTAATGTAGGTGGTATTAACAAAACAATCGAATTATAAAAGATGTAAATATTTACACTTGTAAAAG